AACACTATACTAAATAACCAGGTTACAATCTGGGAGGTAAGAGATCAACGCAGACGAAACCAATGAAAGATAGTTAAGGTAAGCCAGCTATCAAGGAGGAGAAAAGGAGGAAACGGTGGGTTGATCACTTCAAAAAGCTCTTGAATCAACCACCACCAACACCACCAACCGCAACTCGTCCAGAAATACCTCCAGCAACCACAGAACTACAAGTGAACACAGTCCCTCCGACAGAAGCAAAAGTGGAGTCCTGAACGCCATAAAACTGCTGAAATATGGGGAAAGCAGTAGGACCAGATGGAATTCCTCCAGAACCAAGGAAAACAGATGCAGAGACAACAGCGGACACGCTCACACCACTAGTGTGCTGCACTGCACTCAGCATAAAGCGTGAACAACACCCGGATTTTCAACGCTAATGTCAGTCAAGCAAGTCAGTGCTTCTATGAGACGCTTGAGAGACTTGGCACGTTTCTAAAAGGATTTCCAACAAACTGCATACATTCTTCGTCAACAGCTGCCGCCTACACTCATTCGATACTGAAGATGGAGATCAGATAGATAGCCAGAAAAATATGGATAAGCAAGGAGGAGCTGTGGCCTGGCAATGAACCAACTGACCAAGAATGTGTTGCTTAACAAATATGCAGGCGTAAGTGGAGATGGATTGGATTAGGCACATACTGAGAAGAGCATTTTTTGTCATCATACGCTAGACCAGGTTGTCCAGTGGAGCCAGGTTGAAAAGACTGCAGAGAAGATAGTGAAATGAAGACGTAGTATTGAAGCTGTATGTTCCACTAGGAACATGAAAGCAAATAATAATAAATCTTAGGCAATGGTAGTTTTCAATCAATAGGTATGAAGTGACCGTTAGATTTATTTCTAAATACCTCTTAGTGATATATATGCTATGCCACTCAATTTAATATCTATCCCTTTAAAAGCAATGTAACAATTGAATACCAGTGTCTCTATTAAATAAGACTACATGAATTATTTATGAGATGTGAATGCCATTCATTTCCACTTATAAAGGAAAATTGTTATCGCTTAATAGAAGGGAATAGAATCTGTTACTCAAGTTTATGATTTTGTGTCTTTACTAATCATATATAGTCACTAATCACATAATGTATGTTTAGACTGTATATTATTGTAAAGCAACAGCGAAATAAAATGTAATCAAATAGCTGAAAAGGTGATTGTTATCAACTTTACAATTTCATAAATTAAAGATAATAATGATAATTAAGTAACAAATAACCGTTCCTCATTTCCAAAGTGGATAACGTCTTGGTGTTTAATACGAAGTATACTGAGTTCGAGTCTTAATGGGAACAACAAGAAGTGGCCATAGTGGTTGTGTGGTGTAGTGGATAACGCTCTAGCATTTGAAGCGACCGCTCCCGAGTCCGAATCCCGGTGGGAACATCATCAGTCACTGGGAGACAAGTACATCCGGCTGACCAGAGAGTCATAAATAGCACGAAATGAGCATCCTGGATTTCACTGCTAGCCACTACCCATCATTACTATACATAATTAAAACACAAGCAATATCGAGGCATACGTTTAGGAGCCCGTATGCCAACAGAGACTGATCAATTCGGTCCAATCAATAACGGTGTCATACAAGCAATAACACTATTAATCACTAAAGTACAGTTACATCGAGCTGATGAAGTTTAGATAGGACGAAACGTACATTCTATGTACCAAGATAAATACAATCGATGAATATTTCTGTTGTTATGTGTAAAAACTGTTTATGTCAAAATATGAAAGAATTCACTCTATGAAATGAAATAATGACTAGTATTCATCATCATTCAATGTTCAGGTGAAATTTTAAACAGTCATTTTTTCATTTTTGTTTTAATAATTAGAAATGTCTGTTTTTGATTAGATCGAATTAAACGATTTCTGTTTTCTGCATATGAACTCGTATGCGTATACTTCTTATTCCTGATATATCTAACTATAGAATTAAGGATACATATTTCGTTCTATTTGAGATTGATCACTTGGAGACATGTTAATTTAGCTGATGAGTTATGAATAGGATGAAAAATACTCCCTTGAATTCAATCCTTACAATTTTTTATTTATCATTAGTGTTAAAGTTTATTGTACAAAATGTCGTAGACAATTGTATTTGATATAAAAAAGTTATTTTAATTATGGACTCTAATGAATATGAGGACACTGTTCATAGAGAAACCTTCCAAAATGGAATAAATGTGATACTCATGAGGTAAGTAAATATGAACTTCATTTGGGCGGTAATAATGAAATATAATAAAATGATATTGTGTAAAAGAAGAGGGAGGAAAGAAGAATAGAGGATAAGGAATCAGTAAGCAGCTTCCATGATGATCAAATATTATTATTATCATATACTATTTGTCCCTTGGGTTCGTAGTGGAACATACACCTACAGTAGCACGTCTCCATCCACTCTCCAGTTCTCTGCAATCTTTTAAACATGGCTCCAAGACAGCCCAGAAGCTTTCATTTTCTCCTCACATAATCTCCTCCATGTCACTTCCGGACACCCTCGCCTAACTCGTTGCTTCCCGTTTGGATTCCACTCGAGGGACTGGAGCATGATGTCTACAGTCGGTCTTCTCAGTGCATGCTTAACCCATCTCCACTTCCTAAGGTATCTTTGTTGAGCAATAGGTTCTTGCTTTGGTGGTTCTTCCCCAGCCAGAGTTCCCTATTGCTTATACTTTCTGGTCACGCTTTGTGCTGAGTGAAGAAGATCTCCACACTGGTTTCAGGTTAATGAAGGAAGGCATGTCTTGCTGTCTTTCCGATCCTGACTGGCTTCGATCTCCTCATCTGTGCCACTGCCGCCTTCACTTGAAACAATGCTGCCTAGGTAGATTGGTAGGTGAAACAGGCTACTTCCTTCAAGTTTCTCCCGTTCATCGTGCTTGGCGCTTATTATTGTTGCTGGTGGTGGTGGTGGTGGCGTTCACTTGAAGTCCCCTCTCCCTTCGCTGCCCTGCCTCACCTCTTCTGTCAACATGTTACTTTCCGCCTGCAGATCTTCCAGTTTCAGCGACATTAAATACAAGTCATCAATGGAGAAATACAAATCTCCTTGGTTCTCTTCCCAGTCCAGTATATCCCTCTCCTCTCACTCCTCACTGTTTGTTGCATGTTCCAGTCGAGTCGAACACAATCAGGAATATCATGAAGGAAAGTAGGCGGCGGCCTTGTCTTAACCCTTCCCATCCTCACTTCACTTCATGAGCATCACTGCAATTCCCATTGTGAATTACTTGGCATGTGGCGTCTCCACATAGCTAGTTGTTGAATGAGGTTGATGAAGGTTTGTGGTATTCCGTAGTGTTGAATCAACTGTCAAATCACTTGTTAGTCACGTCGATGCTGTTGAAGTCGTTTTCAAAGTGGATGAATTTGAGGTTGAGTTGAGTTGAGTTGACTGGCATTCTATACTCTGTTCTATGATGATGTGTAGCATGGCGTTGCAGTTTGCTCTGCACATGGTTTGCACTTCCTGAATCCGGGTAGCCTTTTCTGGTCGTATTTTGAATCCAGCGTATCCTTAATCTCTCCAGGATGATGTGGCATAATATTTTGCTTGTGATGGACAGGAGCATGACTCCACGCCACTTCTTGCAAGGAATGAGTTCTTCCTTCTTTGGGAGTTAAACAAGTTAGCCTTTTTTCTAAGCTATCGGCAGGTACCTTTCCTTCCTTCCTTCCTTTGAGACCTTCTGCAGTAGCGGTGTGGACATGTCTGCTGTTGTGCCTGCTTCTGTTTTGAGTGCTTCTGGTAGAATTCCATCTGGTCCTACTGGTTTGCCGTTTTTCATCTCTGCACTGCACTGGTTTATCTTCTGCTTCACCATCCTCCTTTCCTCTCTTCTATCACCCTCTACGTGTCCATGGAGATCCGTTCCTTGTATTGTTTCCTTTTCCTTCCTAATACGATTATGCAGGTTTCTTTCCACACAGCTTTCATCCGGTTCCAATGTTCTTACACGCCTGATCCTTCAGGGATGTTGCTCAATGTCTTCTATTTTTTCCTGATGACTAACTGACATGAAGATGTCCGTTGTAGTTTGGTCCTTCAGTTTCTGAGTATTGAACGTGAACTGTGGTCATTTATCACCAACTTCCTTGAAGGCTTTCAACTTGATTTTGAAGTCAGGTTCCTTGCACTAAATACCAGATAGTGGTGTGAACCTACATCTGCTCCCCTTCTCGGTCTGATCTTCTGTCCATTAGGCTGTCTTCAGATGATTAAATATGCGTTAGCTTTATACGCAGGTGAGCCAGATATATAAGTCTAGTGTGTTTGTTATAAAATGTATACGAATCCGGCTTTTTTTTCTGTAATTCCCCTTGGTATACACAAAAAATGTAACTGAATGCGTCTCGAATGCAGGAGATTTAGCTGAAAGTATATAATCTTTTTTGTCGATATGTTTGGTACCCATTAAAAAATCTTTCGACATCTATTTAGTAGTACTATTTAAAACGGCAAAGTTGGAACGATTAAAGCACATAATCTTTGCAGTTAAAGTCTTTATGTAATAGAATAAGAAGTCAGTTAGTTTAACAACACCTGAGACTTTCGACGAACTTAATTGTACAACAAACTGCTGTATTCTGCGTAAATTGTGACGATATGAGATCAAGGTCACCCTATATCATAAACCGACAGATGTAGGAAAATGTTGACCATTGTATTTCGATGCAGTGGCTCACTCTTAACGTGTTCACCGCAGAAACCGCAAGCTCCTTGTTCGATCTTTAATAGTATGGTACTACCTGCATCTTAACAAATAACAGTTTTTAACAAGTTCAAAATAAAGCGGTCAGCCTTAGACTGGAGTCCTAGTCAGAATAAAATCATCCGACGAATTCTAAATAGAGAGAAGCGCATGTTGTTGATTCCACTAGTAAACATCAACCGTAATAACTTATAAAAACAATGTTGTAACACAGATTATGCTTACTTTATCTCTAATTGTCTGTCTCATATTTTCTCTTTGCTCTTCTAATCCTTCAAATTTTTCTCTACGTTTTTCCTCAGCTGCAATTATTGATGCCTCTGAATCTTCTTCATTCGGAGCAGTAAGTGAACCGGCATCCTTGGCAACATCTAAGGAAATTTCAAATACATTGTGTAGAACTAATGCATGAAAAGATGTAAAAAGGGTTTGTAAATGATAATATCTGTGGGCAACAAATTTCTTTTGAACTCAAGGATTTTTGTGAAGTGTAAACATCATATTTTGATTTGGAAGTATTTGAAGTTGTTATTTATCGCAGACTGACATCAGTTAGAAGAACAATGGAAACCTGAAAACACTCGACAGCTGTTTCGTCCTAGTATGAGACTTCTTAGCAGTGCGCACCAACGACCTCGCCCCCCAGGGATCGAACCCACTACCTTCAGGTTCCGTAGTCATCATGTTACCATTGAGCTAGCTACTGGGTCAGAATCTAGTGGTCCATATTTTCAACTTCTGTTAGCTTATTAATTAATAAAGACAGGTAAAAAGCATCTCTTCTATTTGCCTTAAAAGGGCTTGATTCCCAGTTGTTCAGAATCGCTCAAGATTTGAGATAAACTGAAGTCATACTTCAATGCTTTTACCTCTGTTATATCTGTAGAGGAAAATGTAAGTAATCATGAATACATTTATTTTCAATTTTCTCATTGAAGATTTTTAATGATATTCTTTATAAGATGTGCAAACTCATCAATAATAAATCCTACAGTCACCTCTTCAACACTACGGAGTACCATAAACCTTCGTCACGCTCATTCAACAATTATATGACTGCACCACATACTAAGTGATTCACAACACAATGGAAAGCTCAGTGACACATTTGAAGTGAAGACAGGTTGATAGGCAAGAAAAGGGTGCTCACTATCACCAGTGATCTTCTTCATTGTGGTCGAGTAGTCTAAACTGAGTCGTGCAACAGATTGTAAGGAGCGAGAAGATGTGAATACACTGGTTGCACCGATGAGAAGACCCCAGATGAAGATTTGGATGCCACCAACCATGATGATTTATGTCTAATATCTTGTCACACAAAGTGGAAGATGAATAGGTGAAAACTAACAAGTTGGCAGAACAAGCGAGACAGAGAAGGAAGATGTGACTGTGTTCAGGTTGACGTGGATAAGACAGAGGTGATGAAGATACCCAACCAACAACCAGTGACAACAACCAGCAACAACAACCAACAACAACAGTAACAATGAGCATCAATTACGATGAATGGGAGAAATCGAAGGGAGGTTGTCTCCTTTACCTACCTCCCTACCCACCTAAGCAGTATCGTTTCAACTACATGCGGGGGCGGGGCGGGGGCGGTGTCGGTGTCACAGATGAGGACGTCAAAGTCAGCCAGCATCGGAGAGACAGCAAGACAGGCTTTCGTTCATCAATATGAAATGAGTGTGGAGATTTATTGCACTGCACTGCACTGTACTGCAGTGCACTGCACTTAGCATGAAGATTGAACAACATCCGGATTTTCAACACGATTGTCAGTCAGGCAAGTCAGTGATAGTCAAAAACGGTTACCCTGGCCGTTTTATTGATAAAAATATTTTATAAAGAAATACTAAACCAGTCATTCACTCGGTCTCAAAGAAAAGATTGTTCATAAGCTTAGAATTTTAAGGTGACCCTGCATCGGATATACTAAAGAATGGTTTATGGAGATCAATCAATAGAAATTTCTCCTTAACAAGACTTCAGTTTACTTTTACCAGGCGTAATCTATTCCCCCCTTGTGTTAAAGATAAGCTTCTTCGTTTGGCCGCCTCTGTGTGCATCTACCAGTTCACCTGCTCTTGTGGAGCAAGGTACATCGGCTGTAGCCAGATAATGCTTCCTACATGTATACAGGAACATGTTTCTGCTTAATTTTATAAAGGCAAAAGAAAGTCTATTAGAAATTCGATTCTAGAACATTTGATTGATTTCCATTACTCAACAAAACCAGACAATGACTTTAAAATTATTTATCAAATTCGCCTAAACCTCCCACGTTTTCTTTTTCAACTCGTAACAAACAGCGTAGGCTTTAGCCATTCATGAACTAAAACCTGATCTAATGTGTACAAAAGAAGTATGTACAGTGGTCATTATTTTTATCATGGCCATAACATTTCGCCAACCCCACTAGCTTCCTCACCTTCATCGTTAATTTTAATCTTCATATCCTTCCTTTATCATTTATATTATTATAATTGCGCATCCACGACCCCACCAGCAGGGATCGAACCATCGACCTTCAGGTTCCGCGACCAGCGCGTTACCATTGAGCCACTGGGTTAGAATCCATACTAGGACGAAACAGCTGTCCAGTGCTCCCAGGTTTCCTTTGTTCCTCCAACTGATGTCAGTCTTCGATGAATAACAACTTGAAATAATTCCAAATCTCCATAACCCCCTCAAAATTTAATTATTATAATTGCTTTCATTTTGATTAGTTTCCGGTGTTGTCTCACTTAATTGTCTGAAAATTTTTCGAAAAGATTGATTTCATATTGACCAACTTGTCTAATCCCATTACATAATACTTAACTGATTTACCACTTTCATCAATTTTTCTTCACTCCCTTCTGAGTTATACACCTTCTATGAACCAATCATTCCAAATATTATGTAATCTACTTTGTTATCATTCACACTTCAATAGTTATTATAATCACAAATGCCTCTATCATCATCCGCTCTATTATTATTATTATTATTGTCATCATCATCATCGTGTAGTGTTTAGTTTTCTGCAAGGGATATAATTTTTCAAATGGAATAAATTTACGATTGTACAGCTTGAAAATAAATTCTTTGAGAAGAGTCTCTTCACCGAATATCTTGTTGATGTTACTATGGGTATTGTAATATTCCTCTTCTCATGTTAAGATGAAAACAAAGCTGAACTCATTTTCATGCTCATATCCTATTGTAAAGTTTAAATTACCTCAGCCTTAATGAGGTTGTTAAACAACTCATTTGCATGTTTTCTAGCATTACAAACATCAAAGATGTTGTTGATGTAGCCTAAAAGTGCAGAAACTTCGAGAAATTTAAGACGATAAATATGAAAATGTGTTTCTATTCTAAAGAAATTTACGAGATAATTTTCTAGGGATCAACATTAGAGTAGAAAGTAGATACTTCATTGAAACAGAGTTTTATCTGCATTAGATTATTAACTATATACCATAGTGAAGTAGTCCTTAGTAGTGGTAGATAATGATTATCAATAAAATGAATGGCTCTAAACCATCCTGTTTTTAAAATCATCAGCTATTTGAGGAAGCTATAGCTCCACTTACTATGAGCGAACTTAATCCAGATAACAATATTCAAATGGTGCGAAATGTGCATCCTGACTTCTGTACAACGTCGTTTATTACTATCATACTGCTAATAATGTGAACAAGTAAAGTTTAGCATAAGACCACACAACAGCGGACATGCTACACCACTATTGCAGAAGGTCTGGAAGGAAGGAAAGGTACCTGCCGATCGCTTGGAAGGAAGGCTAACTTGCCAAACTTCCAAACAGAGGCAAAGTAAGTCATTGCAACAACTGGCGTGGAATCATGCTCCTGTCCACCACAAGCAAAATATTATGCCGCATCATCCTGGAGAGACTAGAGCAGGAGTTGGATTCAAAATTACGACAAGAAAAGGCTACCCGGATTCAGGAAGTATAAATCATGTGCAGAGCAAATTACAACACAATGCTGCGCATCATCATAGAACAGAGTATAGAATGCCCGTCAACTCAACTCAACTCAACCTCAAATTCATCCACTTTGAAAAGGACTTCAACAGCGTCCACGTTACTGACAAGTGATTTGACAGTTGCTTCAACACTACGGAATACCACAAACCTTCATCAACCTCATTCAACAACTAGCTATGTGGAGACGCCACATGCCAAGTAATTCACAATGGGAATTGCAGTGATGCTCATGAAGTGAAGTGAAGATGGGAAGGGTTAAGACAAGGCCGCCGCCTACTTTCCTTCATGATATTCCTGATTGTGTTCGACTCGACTGGAACATGCAACAAACAGTGAGGAGTGAGAGGAGAGGGATATACTGGACTGGGAAAAGAATGAAGTAGATTTGTATTTCTCCATTGATGACTCGTATTTAATGTCGCTGAAACTGGAAGATCTGCAGGCGGAAAGTAACATGTTGACAGAAGAGGTGAGGCAGGGCAGCGAAGGGAGAGGGGACTTCAAGTGAACGCCACCACCACCACCAGCAACAATAATAAGCGCCAAGCACGATGAACGGGAGAAACTTGAAGGAAGTAGCCTGTTTCACCTACCAATCTACCTAGGCAGCATTGTTTCAAGTGAAGGCGGCAGTGGCACAGATGAGGAGATCGAAGCCAGTCAGGATCGGAAAGACAGCAAGACATGCCTTCCTTCATTAACCTGAAACCAGTGTGGAGATCTTCTGCACCGCACTGCACTTCACTGCACTCAGCATGAAGCGTGAACAACATCCCGATTTTCAACACCAATTGAGTCAAATAAGTCAGTGCTTCTATGTGATGTTTGAGAGACTTGGTGCGTTACAAAAGGGATTTCCAACAAACTACACACATTCATCAACATCTGTCACCTACGCTGACTCGATACTAGAGCTCAGATAGCCAGAATGATGAGAATAAGCAACAAAGAACTCTGGCTGACTGGCAGCGAACCAACCGAGAAGCTATCGCCAATAAATATGCCTGAGGAAGTGAAGATGGACTGGACATATACTTAGAAGACCATTTGAGGGCATCATGAGCCAGACATTCGTGTGGAACCGAGATGGGAAGCGGCGAGTTAGGCGTCCGTAATGAGGGTGACATGGAGGAGATCGTGTGAGGAAGAAATGAAAGCTTCTGGGCTGTCTTGGAGCCAGGTTCAAAAGATTGCAGAGAACTGGAGAGTGGAATGGAGATGTGTTACTGAAGGTGTATGTTCCACTACGAACCCAAGGGATAAATAGTAGCAATAAAATTAACCTTAATACGACCACACATTCTCAGACTGACTAACTAGGTTAAGCTGAAACAGCGAAGGGTACTATAAACATTTTCACACTTCTAATTATCT